AAAAAACCGGACATTTCTGTTAAGATTCGAAGTTATTAGCATTTAATTGACCAATTTTGGGTTTTTGTACTAAAAATCGTAAAAGTTCCCTTAAAAATAAAAAACGCGCTAGAAAATAAAAATGTTTGTATGAATTTGTTCTACATGGGCTAGTGTATCACCCCCTTAAAGGTTTGCACCCAGCTACCAAACACCCTGTATATATAAAATGAAAGAAATTTCTTGTGAAATTATGAACAAAAATTCGGTGTAGGTCTGTTCCCATCATGTTTGAAAATAGTCACAATCATTCCTTTGCATAAAATAGAAAATCTGGACAACCTAGTGAATTTTAGACCAATGGATTTATTACCGGCTTTATCCAAAGTTATAGAAAAATTGGTAACTAACAGAGTAATATCATTCCTTCAGTAAAACAATATAATTTATTTATACTAGTTTTGGTTTCAATCGTCAAATTGTAAACACGATGCTATATTTGCATTCCTAGAAAACCTGTACGTTAATCTCAACAAAAGAGAATTTGCGGCGACCATGTTTTGTGACCTATCCAAGGCATTTGACTGTGTGGTTGCTCCACTGCAAGCTCAAAGTTCACGGTTTCAGAGGATCTGCATTACCCTGGTTTGAGACGTACGTGTCTGATAGCAGGCTGTCCTAATAGATGGAATATCATCAGAGGAACGTTTGATTGCCTGTGGTGTCCCTCCTAAGGACTGTTTTGGCACCTGTACTGTATCTCACTTATGTCAATGACCTAGTCCATATTAACATTCACATTTTTCGCTGACAACACCATTGTTCCCTGGCAGAACAATACCACCTAAAATTTATCTGACTATATCAGCGCTGACATAAGAATAACAACATTTACAAAACAAATTTGCTCTCATTCAGATGTGATACAGGGGAGGCACATTTGGAAAATGAAAAAAATTAAAAGTTGAAGAATAATAAATTCTTAGGACTATATATTGATGAGAGACTGAAATTGTATAGCCATGTTGGCCATTTATTTAAACAACTGGCAGCAGAATGCCATGCAGTGAAATTTGTTACAAGAGAGTTAGATACTGCTATCACAATATCTATTTACTTTGCTCACATTGAGTCCCCTTTACGTGATGGAATTTGCTACTGAGGAAATCATGCGCAATTTTTTTTCAATACGCCATTCTCCTTGCAAAAAGGGCCATCACATATTTATGCAAGGTTAGTTGGAGAGATTTATGCCATCCTTTATTTGTGGATGAGAAGCTTCTAATCTTAATGTGTCTTTTAATTTTGTGTCTAATTCACAAAAAGTATAAAAATATAATTATTACTACTTCAACATATAGTACATGTCAACACACCGTATTTGTCTCCCTACACCTACACTAGCACTTACACAAAATTCGATTATCTTCAAGAGTAAGAAGTTATTTAGTTATTTTTCTATTAACTTAAGGTGAATACAGAATGAAGAGAGATTGAGAAATGAGGTAAAAATGTTCTTGTTGTGAGGGTCTATTATAGTGTGGATGAAATCTAAGAAGATACCACAGACATTTAGTTGTCATTGAAATAGTCCTAATTATATGATACTTTTAATTGAGAACAACTAACTGCAAAAGTTATGGAAGTTTATTTTATTGACTATGTTTTTATAATTTTTTGACTTTTTAAAAATGGTTATATTGCTTTTACATGTATTTAACTATAAATCAACTATTGATCACATTTTTTTAAGAAAAAATAAAGGAAACAACTAATATCAACACCTCCATAAAGTTAGCAAGGCAACTTGCAGTAAAATTATTGAAATATATTCTTTTTTAATTGTCGAATAACTGTAGAGAATTTGTCTAAAAAGAAAAATAATTGTCGCGCATCTCCTTTTTTTATAAGGGGTAGCCCTGCTAACTTGATATAAAGTTAACACAGCACCTGTAGTAAAATTTTTAATATAATTGAAATATTAAAACTTTCATTACTAGTATTTGTCGAATAATTGT